AATAATATTAAATGACCGGTTGGTGAACTAACTTAAAAAAAAAAAATCCGTTTATAGAGTTTGAAATATATTTGTTCGGGTAATAAGTATTTGTAAGTATTTTTATTAATCGAACTTGTATGACAAAAAAAATTGGCAATAAGTAACGAGATAAAAATGCGTTCAGAACTTAAGTAAAAAACACTGTTAATTTTACCAAAACACTTGTATTCTAATCTGCAGTTAACAGAAAATTCTCTATTTTACCTTTTTTTTTTTGTGCAGTATTTATACATTATTTTAATCATATATACCGACAAATCTAAACGATGCATGGTTGAGATGTTGAAAATAAACAATATGTATTACAATTTTGATTATTTTTTAATTTCAAAAACGGATAGGTATTTAAAAATTGGTATAAAAAAAAAAATTAACGTGAATGAATGAAAGACTTTAATCAGTATGGCAAATCATTAATCATTGCATAAAAATTGTATTCTGTCAATAATTCTTCTTGTGCGCGAATATTTGAATAGATTATAAAAATGGAAATAAAAAGAACGCTATATCGATTGTCGAGTTCGTAAAATAATATTTTTTTTCTCGAAAATATCAAACATGATAGTCGTATACTTATCATAAAGAAACAGGAAGATCGTCCAAATGAAAAACTGAAATTTAATTGAAAAGTTTTTAATATTTTTTATTTCTTTTTATTATATTAATATTTTTTCTGGAAAACTTTGCAACGTTATTATTGTTACCTTCATATTTTAACACTTAAATCTTCCGTCTGTTTTATGTTTAAAAAAAACTGCCCTATCTTACCTCATAATACTTTATGAAATGAAAGTATTTGAAAAATTGTACGATATTTTATGCTAAGATTATTAAAACTTTTTAATTGAGCAGCGGTTATTATTTAAATAAAAAAAACTCAATCCGCAAACTTATCTTGATTATCGCAATAACTGAATTGTACTAAAATTTGTATGATTAAAAATTTTAAAGTGTATATTATCTGTACTCAATGATTAAAAAACATGTTGTTGTCAATTTTTGGTCAACAACGAGTCTCCAACTTAAAACACCCTACATATATATTATGTAGAAAAATAGAATTAACAAAATTTTAAAAAGTTTTTTAGTTTCATACGAAATCAACTCAAAATCCTATTGGTAATAATAATTGCCAATATTTAGATTGACCCATAGCTTTTGGACCCAAGCTTAGATGCATAATTATTCTAAAATCTAGGACAATCTGGATAAATCGAATTCATCAAGTTCACATTAAAGTTTTAACTTTGGTAACTGAAAATTGAATTTCCCAGTCTTGAATGGTATCGTGTAAAAAATATAGGTGGGTAAATGGGTATTGTACTGAACTTCGGGTACAGTAATAATTTACCGATGCCGTTTCACGTTTTTATAGTACATATAACGGAGTAACATAATAATAATAGTTATAAATGTGTACGGAAAACGCCCGATTAGTCGAACAGGAATAGTTTTTCGGCTAAAGGGTCCTACGGACCCTGCTGTGGTTATGGCACCGAAATGGCATCGGCGATTGCAACACACATACACACAGAGCGAGTAAATGTATACATAATATACTTTATTACCAGGGAAACACTCCAGATGTTCCCTATAATATGTTGGCCAGGTGTTGGCCAACAGTTGGACGGTCTTTTCACACCCGGATTACAAATGAATAGATAAATTATGTAACCTGTGTAACATTTGTGTTTTATTAAAATTATATAATTATTACATTGTACTATTTTGTTTGAACTATTATTAAAATCGTATTACTGTTTGACTGTAAGTCTTTGTTTTTATATTTTGTACAATTATTTACTGCTCTCGAGGAACGAGGTTGATTTAAAAATTATTATCTTACTTCATTTCGCATTTAATTAATTATAATTTTTGATTTTTTAATTACATCAGGCAGATACATACGTTCTAAAAAAGTGTGTTTGCATCTGTAAACAGGACTAATAGCTTGGAAACCACACAAGGAAAACCAATTGGCATAGGTTATGATCAAGAATTACAAAGAGGAGTGTTGAGGAATGGAGTTCCGGCGTACTAATTTCACCGTTGCTAAATCACAAAAAATTGAAACACGTGCAATTGTAAAAATGAAATTAAACAAAACTGAATTCGATTGTCTTTAGTCCAAACAAATTATTAGTGTCAAGACTTGCCGTGATTACTGTAAATTATAGAAATAATAATATTAGAATTTTGAAAAACAAAATTACACGTTTCTCGAGTGTTCTTTCTTTTTTTTTTTTTCATGTGTACAATTAATTCAATATAAACTCGTCTGAGTTTATACTAATGTTGTCCCTGTGCCGCTTTTACCATTTGTGCTATGACTTTGAGAACCATTAGGCGAGTAACATTCGCTAGCCTTTTAGTTCAAAAGGGCAAATGATCGGTTTATTTCCGGACGGTGACCAAGTAGAGTTTAGCCGAAGGGAAAGATTTTCAGACTGTGTAACGACAGAGCTGACGGATTTGTCCAATATAAGAAAAAAAAAATACCCTTTGTAATCGCAGCAATAGCCCGAAGGATTTAATATGTGACACGCAATTACTATATACGTCTCTCACATTTTCGGTTTTGTTCGGTAAATATCTAATTCGTTTTTCTTGCACTAAAATATAATTAAGCTCTTATTTCACACGATAATACTCGGGTATTGTATTGCGTTTATATAGCATACCACGATTACGACTTATATCTATTCACACCATAATGTTATGTACCATACACTAGAAAATATACTAGGCATAATTATCAATCATACTAAGTATATAAACTATAAAAAGAAGCCGAATAAATCAAACATTTCTTTTAACAAATATAAAAAAAACCGTGTACTCGCCATTTTATTAAACTAGTATACTTTTTGTAATTCAAGGGGCTAGTATGCAAGTGATAACAAGCTACTAACGTGTGAATAGGGTTTTAATCTCGATTCACCCTAAGGTTTCGATATTATCAAAATTTATGGATGTATAGTTTGTAAACATCAAACGCCAACGAGGTTCATAACACATTCCTCGTTACCATACTTTGTAATTTATTAGTAAGTACATAACAGGAAACAGAAACAAGCGTTCAAAACTTGTACATAACGATAGTACACCATTCGATAAAGCGGTAAACACACTGGACGTAATGATTCACCTTAAAAGTTTAAACATTACCTAGATGACATAACCTCAACTTTATCACACGCTTGTTCGGTTCGCCTATTATCCGCGACAAAATACAGTGAACACTAATAAGGGAACAATCAAGACAAATAAACCCGTTTATAGTGAGATAAATCTATTTTATTTGATGACAAATTATTAATGGCGTTGTAAGCAGCTACTGTATTGTTCCTCGTCTATTGCTGTTGACCTGGATAATAACGCCACGTGCTAATGTACAACTATCACTCGACCGAGTCCTTTAATCAAACCGAAGTTAAGGGCCTATCCGCTATTCGAGTGTGAAGTGTTGTAAATACTCAACTGAAAACCGATAGGGTTGCCCGACAACAAGAGTGGACACGTGTAGGCAGCGATGAAAATATGTGTAAAAGTGTACTTGAAAGTTGAAACTACATATAAAACAAAAAGTCAAAACGATGGCATCGAAGTGTACATATTTTGTTTCTTGGAAGTGTTGTGTCAGAAAATGATGAAATCACAATCAAGAAAACTATCATTCGGCACAAATCTGTGAACGATGAAAAATAAAAAAACAATATTTATCAAGACATTTTATAACATTTCTAAAAAATGCAATTTTGAAACTGGAAAAATCGGTTGTGCTCTTAAAAGAGTATGCGCATTATTGAAAGAGTCAATTTTTACCTATCTTCGATATAAGGTTTTAGAATTCAGTCATTTAAACATTATTCTAGATCAAGACAAAAAAACATTTTAGAACCTTTTCAACACTGCCTTTTTGGCACAATAACAATATCAAATAAAGTATAATTTACTCGAAGTTCAGTAGGGTCTACAATATTTCATAAAGACGGCTTAAAACACAAACTGAATTCACCAAAACTAATTTTGTCTGCGACACATCAACTATTGTTGTTTATGCTTTGAAAAATTGCGAAAAATTCTAACTTTTTGAGTAAGCTATATTGTGTGGACATCTCAAATAATATAATTATATAATTTAATACGTAATTCAATGAATTCTTCAAATAACGTTAACCTAGGCTTCGACTGCTTCGATATATGTTATTATATGATTTTCAGTTTGAACTTCAATAATTAAGAACGTTTTTTAATGGTCAAAGACTTTTACTCGCGTTACACCATTGAATATATTATAACTATGATCCATTGGTACGTCTTCTTAATATTCTCCTTTTAATCTCATTGGAATTTTCATTCTCGTTTACGGGACGGTTCACTCTTGCTATAATAATTATTATTATTTTATTATTGCTTTTTGGAGTTCTTAATACCGAACATACCAAACATGCCGTCTATTGTGTATACAAGTACATAATATTCTCTAAACAATAGAATAACAATAACATTATTTATTCACCCACCACAGTCCGTGGCTGTAGTACAATACATACCGGTATGTAGTAAAAAATAAATTATATGGGATACATCATATTGAGTTTACATGTATAACTCGATTATTTACCCGGGGAACTTTTAGGAATTCTATCGAGACATTGTTGTATTTCAAGTAGAAAATCGCATACATTATATTATGCACGTTGGTACATCTGGTATTTAGATGTTGAACTCGAGGAATGCGTCTGGGGCAAGAAAGATACTGGGTCTCGACCAAAAAGATACTGTGTAGCTTTACTGCGATATTGGACACGTTCAAAACCTTTCCGTATAGTCACAAGATGGAATTCGAATTTGCTTTGTTACCGACATTATTGCGGTGCAATTGAATCCGAATGTAATAGCATTTTGTATCAGTATCCAAAGAAAATACCGACTATCATATTATTGTTGGTTACCTGACAGTGCTGCAACCGGCCAAACGGATAACATCAGCAACATCACGTACATCATGCTACAGCAGTTGCAGTGGCCTGGCTGATCTTTATGCCGCTCGACATTCGCCGTTCCTCCACAATAATTGTATCATGTCCCTGTAAGCACCACAACGTAAACACATTAATAGGTAAAAGCAAATTATCGTAACGTACTAAAAAAAACTATACAGGAATGCCACCCAACACATAACCCCCATAAACCGTTCATAAAAAAATGATGAAGTATACAAAACAAGGTACAAAATGATGTTGTGGTTCATTGTGGTCAAGGGTGTTTTAAATGTTTGTTTTCCTTCTATCTTGTCATGTCTTTATAACTTATGGAACAGACACACTCGGAATTTACTTGCATCTCCTTAACTGTTTGCAGACATTAAAAGAGATTTAAAAACTTTAAAATTGTTTTTTCTTACTACTTTCTGGCCGTTAAGTGGTTTTTTTTTTAAATTTCTATATTTTTCCATTTGTAAACAAATTTGTTTTCTAAATTCCATTTTTACTCTCGTTGTCTCCCCTTCTCAAATTAGCAGAACTTGTATAATATGATGGGGGACGCCGTTTATTTTTCGGTAATAAATAGAAATTGAACCCGATAGTTCGTAGTACTAAGATCGACGGCAGAAAATCTCAAACAAGAAACTCGTTAAATATTTCTACTATACATACTATATATATATATATGTATGTCGCCTTGGCAACCTGTAATGCGTGGCTCACTTTTATTGAAAAAAAAAACGCATTACAATAAATATACTGCTCTAATAATATTATATTGCCATTGAATCTCACAATCCTATTATTAATGGCATTTTCTTTTTATCGCGGTAAATCACCGATGGAATCTCGCGTTGTAGTAGACAAAAATACTCAAGTTTCGAAAATTATTCATTCAGTGAAAATCGGATGATTCTGTTTTGTGTTTGTTTTTTTTTTTTTGCGATCTCATAATAGTTATGAAAATTTAAACTTTCCTCTCGTTTAATTCCCAGTCACGCTGTCGACTATCCGTGTGAACGAAACGATCGTAAAGTGCAGCTCAATTTCGTTGTTATTATATATTTTCGGTGCCATCGTACAAGTAATTGGCAACCACGAATCCCGGGCGTGTCGTTGTCCCGGCTCGGCCGTTGTAAACACAGCAATAATAATATAGGTAGTCGACTGTGTTTTCTGGGATTCCGGTTGAATGACAATTAAGCGAAGAATTTAAACACTACCCTTTGTGCATGCGTGTTCGGGCAAAAACCATCTACTTGGGACAAGGGTGGATCTAAGAATGGGGGGCTAGAAAAAAAATATTCAAAGTCCAAATACTTATAGGTAATAGTTAAAACTTAGAGTAACAAGAATCCAAAATAAATACATGGTGGCTGATGCGATTCGGCGTCACGAGAATGAAAGGAAACGACGAAGCAAAAACATTTTCTTTTTTTTTTTTTTAAATAAAAAGTCTCATTTTCCTGGAGTCGTTTAAGTTTTCCCACAATAAATACAGCCATTGCCAAAGGACGTATTGTAGGCCCTTGCTCGGATCACGGATGACAAATACTGTGGTGGTCGTGGGCCGACAACCGTTTTATGGTAATGAATAATGTAATTCCGGGACGAACGATGACGGTCTCGGCTTTTCCGATCGGCGATAATCGTTGACATCGGGGTCGACCCTAATAATAATTAATAATTCTCGATCGTGACACGTCCCGTTGTACCTACTTAAGAGCACACACGCGCGAACTTTGAAAACGGATCACGCGTTTAATATAAAAATAAAAAAAACCGTTGTGTAAAAACGTCAACTTGTCGAGGTTTTCGAACAAATTGTTTAAAGTCTTACAATAAAAGCAGCCTGTGTAATTTTTGTAAAAAAAAAAAAAAAATGTCCACACTAATATTTTACACCTTTATAGGCGGAAAGCTATTGAGTTTCCCGCACTATTTTGGTTTGTTCTTTTGTACAATCGTCGAATAAATCATTTTCGGTTTGTCACACTATAATATCATAATAATACGATTAGTCAGCCCGCCTGGGTGTGTTGACTGGCTAATTATTTATAGCATCAAAAATCTGCTCTCTCCGTTTAAAATGCAACGTTCCAGTGCGGTGGCGGACAAAGTGATAAACGCACAGACACGAATACTTTTGACACTCGTGAATCATATTACATGTGATTTCCTGGCGCGAAACACTATTTATATATAAACGCGTGTGTGGTCTATGTAATCCGTTCAATAACGAAATACACCTTAAAGTAAAATAATATAGTTCATAAATCTCCAAAACTGCGCCAAAAAACTTTCTGGTAAATCGAATTAAAAAGAAAGGAAAATTTAGTAAAAACAAAAAACTAATTAATTAACTTGATCGAATATTATTGTATAAAAATAAAACATGTACCACGTCACACAGCAACACAATAACGGTAACAAAAAAGTGTGGTCGAGGCTTATTGGGATCAAAGAGGTCACAGGTCTTTAGGAATTACTATAAACAAAATCACTTTTAAACAACGTTTTAATGAGAAGCTGTAGAAACGGTAAAAATAAATCAACATTCTGACTGGTCGATTTGAACCTTTATAATTTTATTGTAAACAGAAATTTAAAAAAAAAAACTTGCCCTAAATTAAATTTTAACTATATATTACATTTTATATAACTTATTGATTGAAATTGTGTTTTTTTGGAGGGGGTGGAGTTTCACTTTAAAAAGTGAGACTTCTGATTTCTGAAAACATTTTATACTTCATAAAGCCACGCTAGATTTACCTTTCAGACTTTGAGTCAACAAATTTCGATAGTTTCTTAATTGTTAACTGTATAGGATTTTTGTATGTATTGGACTATTTTTCAAAAAGTTATAGAGAGCCGTAATTTTAAGTTGAAAAATCTGTCCCATTTATTTGGACGTTTTCTGGATTTTCAAGGGCAAGAGGTGAACTTTTTACATTTTTGTCAATGTTCCTTTTAAGTACGATTTCTCTGATACATGGGCTTGTTACAAGAAAAAATCGGTCCAACGGCTTAAGAGATATTGTGGGTTCGGACACAAAAATAAAAATACATCGTTGTAAGAACAACATCTTCTCGGTCGAAGTTAAAAGTTATGATAACCAATAATGTCGACTGGTTATTAATTATTAATTATTACACATACGCTGACAGACAAAATGTAAAATTTTGTTCAACCTATATTATTTGCTCGTAAAGAAGCCGCTATTGATTAACACGGGCGAGGCAGAACATACACTGAATTTCCACCATCAGCTTTATATTATGTTAACCCTAACCGGATTTTAATTAATAATTACCATCGAAATTCCCAAATCGGCCGTAACCAATTTGCTTAGCTATTTTTTTCACACAATCGAATGAATTTATCGACTAATCGATTACTATATATTTGTGCCGGAATGTTTTTTTGATTCGTTACGTCCATGATCGAATTAAGGGTTGTATCATTTCTACAATCATTTATTTTGTAAATAATAAACTGGCACAAAAAGTACGTATGTGCCGTGTGCATAAAAACGCATTTAGTTTCTAATTGTCAATTGTTTTGCTTTTTTTTTTAAACTTCAGAAATGTCACTTTGTGTCGTTTTTGTTTGAACGGCTGTGTAAAATGTAATAATACTGTATATTTGTGTATTGACTATATGTTTTTGGAAGTCAGCGATAAAAGATGATAGGTTATCTATTTTAGATTTTAAGAATAATTGCGTGGATCGCCGTTTAACAGAAGTTCTGTCGACATTGATATTTTTCAATCGATTGGCTAATGACTTTTGTTTGGCGGCAGATGGAACAACTTTAAGAAAAAATGAATTTAAACATTTTGCGCCAAGACTTAACGCTAAGTAGGGAACGTAATTACTTTGCGAGGGCCCCGACCCACGGACCCCCTTTCTTAAATCCGGCCCTGGTTATGTCACCAGCAAATTGTTTCGACGACCACGAGGAATTCACAAAGGTTCGGCGAGTACACGATCATTTTTTTTTTTTTTTTTTTTGCCATTTTCGTCGTAAGTAAAATTCGCAAAAGAAATACCTAGTAGGTTTCCACGTCGTTTGGCATTGGATATACGCAGAATTCCAATTCGAGAACGCCGACAAAGTACACCGCAGCGGTTGTATGTATCTATGTATGTGTATCTCATATAAACGCTATGCGATGAGGTAAGGTAAAAAGAACAAAAAAATTCTACGTGTGGCAAAAAGAAAATCCAATCAAACGGATACGCTCCGGACTTAAACCGGCGAGCTACTTGAACGGGAAACATCTCAACACAAAACGACGCCGAGGTCAAATTGTAAACATTATAGATATGCACAGATATGCACAGACACCGGTAGTTTTCCGAAATAAAGGAAAAACGTGACGTCCAACCGTAAATCAACGACTTGCAGAGATGCGTGCCACCGTGCAACCGTCGGGTCTCTCGAATATTAATGCGGTTTAATCGAATTGCATTGAAATTATTATTTTATGTGAGGCGCCTAGTTCAAAAACCAGCTTAAAAGGTATTTTGAAAATGTGTCTTTTCAGTGGCCATTGACCATACTGTATTACGTGGTATGTAAAACTATTATTGAATATCGAATAAAGATTAAAACTAACTCAAACTACGTTGGGAAAATCTTGGTTGGTTTCAAAATCGCTCATCTAAAGAAATTGTTTGTTGTCTGTGAACATTTGCAAAAATTGCTTTTAGGCGCCTCGTGTATAGGTAAAACATACCATACACCATAGTACACAATATACGATACAATTAAATAATAATGAGTTGTTCAATACAATATGTAATAACTTAATCGCCGTACTAAAGACCGTGTAAATAATCACTTATTATTATTATTACCACCAACGCACAAAGCATGGCCTAAGCCGTTAAAGCGATTTAATTAATGAAATATCGAACTACGTTTTAATTTTTTCACTAACAAATTGTTTTAGCTAAATAAAAAAGTTACCCTCAACAAGACTAAATTAAAAATAATTTAATTCGATAGTTAGAAAATACTTTCTTAATGTGATACTTATACATACTTTATACATTCTTTGATAATTATTACTAAATAAAATAAAGATATTTTATT